CATCCCTTATTGATCAATAAAATTATACAACGACAAACATAAAAATGAAATGAAGTAAAAGGTGGGGGAAAAATACTTTATTAAGTTTTGGAAATAAATATTTCTTTATTTAAGATTAACAAAACTAAAATGTACAACAATTAAATGTGTTTATCAATGGTGTAGAAATTAACTGAACTAATTTATATGAACAACGTGGGACAATTTAGGTTTAGGTAACTCAGTGGATGAATCAAAAGAATGTCCAGACATGGTGTAGAAATCTACCCACACCATCCCTAAATCTCTCTTGGGTATACAGATTGATTTTTCTCAGAAGTGCGAAACCTATGTGTCTACTTACACTCAACACTAACTATGGAAAATCACATTAAAATGCTATGCAAGGCTTTTTTCTAGAGCTGCAAAAAATTAGTCATATCAAAACTTTCTTAAAGTCTGATGCAACAAAGAGACTGAGGTCTGCCTTCATTCATTGACTACCAAAATGTTCTAATTGTGGGTCTCCCACCTACGCTCCTGGATAAAAAAAAGCACATAATAATACGGCTCGCATTGTTCTTCGCAAAAGCAGATTCGACCATGCTAAAACAATTCTGAGATAGTTGCATTGGCTGCCGATCCGCGCTCACAAAGAGTATACAATTGTAACTCTGTGCTACCGCTGCTTGCATGGCGCTCATGGCGGATTATCTACCCACAAGTCAACTCTACTCATCTGATAGTGGCAAATGTTCGATACCATGTGATCGCCATGAGACTTACGGACGGCTCCCTTTCGCATTTGCTGGCAAAACAATTTAAAACACACTTCCTGTCGCTGTCAGAAACAGCGAGACACTCGCGTCTATCAATACATTTTTGAAAACGCAACTATTTTGCAAACAACTTTTGGTGTGATTTTGTCTACCCTCTTTTCCAGCTTGCCATTATCTTCTAGATATATTGGCTTGTATTGTTTACGGTTGCAAGGGATGAAATAATTTAAATGGGTATTCTTGTTATTGGGATGAAGCGTGATTTTCCATTAAAATATATTATTATTTATACTAATCAATATGTAATATACTTAAGACATCTTAGGTTTAGATAAATCAGTGCAGTCATCAAACGAATGTTCATACAGCGTGTAGAATTTTACGAAATAATCTATATGAACTACTTGGGACAGCTGAAATTTAGGTCAATCAATGGATGCAAAAAAATGTTAATGTAAATTGTATTCATTGTATAAAAGGGGACATTTTTTAAAATATAAATAAAGACAAATTGTATTTTATTATGTTAAATAAACGAAATCTTGATGTTTGTCTGATGAATACGTTGTTGAGAACTGAACTGTCACGTTATATTAATACAGTGAGCTGTTCAATTGCAACGACAAATTAATACTGAGTGTTGTTAAAGTGCTAATTTAAACTAATACAGTGTGTTGTTCAAGATCTATGTTAAATTAAAACAGTGTATAGTTCAATTGTCATTTTATATTAATAAAGTTTTTTTATTCAAGTGTTATGGTATATTAATAACGTTTTTTGTTCAAGTGTTATGTTATATCCATACAGAGTGTTGTTCAAGTGTCACGTTATATAATTATATTGTTGTTGCCAGTATCACCAATGTTTGGGAGGAGTCTTCGGGGAGGAGACATATATGAGGAGACTTTTGAGAGGAGTCTTTTGAGAGCAGAATTTTTCCTCGCATTTAGTAAACTCTCTTCCTAAAAAAAAAATGCAACGTTTTAATATTACCTCTTTTCTGATTCATAATGAGATCGAGTTTCATATCCATTACAAACTTCATTTTCTTATCCAAAAAAAACCACACATTGCTTTTTCCAAAAGAAGACACATTGAGAAATACATAATGTGATAAATAAAATTAGCATAAGGGTATATAGATTGATTGAATATAACTAAGGCAATATTTATTGTTATATATCTTTGTCAGAAAATACATGATGTTTATTTTACATCTCATTAAGCATAGTTACAAACATAGTAATACAAATCATTTTTAAACATGTATTTTTTAAACTAATTCTGAACTCAATATACTTGAACAAGAATCGGTAGCGTATAATACATATTAGTTTAACATAAAAATCACTAAATGACGTAATCAATTCTTGATTAGTTCTGTATGCTTTGCTCAAGTTTCAGGTTATGTTAAAACGTCTATTTTTTAATCACTTTTCAAACCTCCCCCAACCCTCCCAACTATTAAATAAATACATAAGAAAATTAATTAATTAAATTTAATGTGCATATATATAAATATTTGTATCCTATATATATTTATAAAATATCTATTTAGATTCAATAGGTTTTTTATATATTTTTACAAAAGACGACACTTCCAGTGTAGTAAATAATTTCGTTTCAATGTCTCATCAAGTCTTTGCCAGTGAGCATCATGTATTCAAATATGTGCAGTTTGAACAGAGTCTTTTGACCATGGAACTACATTTTAAATAAAGATAACAATTGATACAAGGGCGTCTTATTTAAAACTAAAATATAATTAAATATTACAGTTTATTTAAAACATGCAGTAATAAGGTGGCCTATATAGTAAAGGCCATCAGAAAAGGACTAAAGAAGGGAGACAAAATGGTAATTAAAATGTAACTTATAATATTGAAAGCAGGTAAACACACGAAAAGTAGCAGGGGTCCCAGGAAGTCAATCCACTTTGACTTTGCTACAAAAATAGAAAAATAGACTAGGAGATATTACTTTTAAAAAATAACCAAGAGATATTGTCAAAACAAGACAATATTGATAACGAGATGTTGTCAAGAGTATTATTGAAATTCAATTTTTATGATCAGCAACACAAGGGCCCCCGCTAAGCGTCAATTTTCCATCTACCATTTATACTTAACAAAACATTCATTCAAATAACACATTTTTGCCTTTTTGCAAATCTTTCAGCAGAAAATGTGGGTCTTTCAATCTACTTGAACATGAAGGACTCTGAGGCTGTAATGTTTCCCAAGTTGTTTCAGTCGTGCATGAATGTAGTTAGGGTTAGCTGATGGAAGAGAACAACAGGAAATAATACACACATTGACAGACACACAATATAGTGTAGTACAAAGCCGATGGTAGTGAAGACTAAGAAATAATGAACAGTTTGATGGACACATAACATAATCTGGAAAATTATTTCCTTAATCCTAATGAAATTCAATTACAGACTGAAACATGTGATTACCTCTCCCTCAGTTGTTAACAATTAAAGTGTGTGAAGAAATTGTTTTAGCAGCATTTATTGGTACATTATGTGTAGTTAAATTATATTTTGCCATATTCCATATTAGCATTACATATGTTCCTTGCATCAAATTATTACTCATATTCTGATATTAATGTTTGACCACGATTTCTTAAGTCCAGTCCATTTGCTGATGACTAAAATATCTCTTCACCATTCCCATTGAAATCCCTGTCACTTTCTTAAATAACAACTGATTATCACTTCTTCATTGCATTGAAAATTCAAACTATCTACAGGTGGTATAAACAGCCAAAATTTCAAATACTGCAGTCACTGCATGGTAGGATCTAATTTTTTACGTCACGTAGCGTAGACATATTTTGACACTCAGTTGAGACTACTACTACTACACAACACTCCTGGCAAAGTAAGTTGTTACTTGATTATTACTCTTTACCTTTGAGTTTATATTATTATACTTTTACTTCATTTATTATCTCACTAACATATAGTTTGTACAATAGTTTCTAATATTAAATAAATTTCATGGATGACTCATGACACAAACGTTCTTTAACTTGATCATCGAATTTTTTTAAAAAAACAAGATCAACTCTTTTTTTAACACACTTTTTAAAATTGTACTAAAATTATATGATAAAAAAAAACAACTTCTGAGTCATATGAATAAAAAAAAGACATTCATATTTTTAGTTTTCATATTATAGAAATACATATTAAACAAAAATTATGTTGTTTAAATAAAATGTTTATTTAATAGGAATAAAAATTTCAGTCCAAAATAAGTTTTCAGGGGAAATACATGTGACATATTTTGTCTTTAATAAATACATATTTAAGGATTTTATGGAACATGATACATTTTAATGACTTGTTTTATGGGTGTTTTTTTAGAACTACAATACAAAGACAATAACAAAACTTAGGAATTTTATAGCATATTTTAACTTTTCTGTTGTGAGCGAGAGTTGTTGTGAATGTTGGGTAGGGGGAGTTGTGGATCGTGAGTGTTTTGTGAGTTGTTGGTCGAGAGGTCAGAGCGTGAAGTTAGTCCGTGGTGTTGCACGTTTGCGTAGGCTGAGTTGTTGTGTGGTTATATAAAAGGGATGTGTGTTAGCTAGAGGTCAGTCGGAGTCAGTGAGAGACAGGGAGAGTGTCAGTAAGAGTTCAGAGTTAGTAAGAGTTCAGAGTTAGTAAGAGTTCGGAGTTAGTGTCAGTCAGAGTCCAGCCGAGACAGTAGTTAGAGAGTCAAGCCGAGACAATAGTTAGAGAGTTAGTATTATCGCTATTGAACGTCGTCACTGTGAATTGCTATTGGATCCTGTAAATAAAGAACTGTTGTATTTCCATGCTGGAGTTGTGATGTATATATAGATATGAAGAAAGTGTTGTAAACCCCTAGACAAGGTGGAGTCTGCTGACTGTGCAGTAAACGTAACTACTGTGGGATGTGTTGAAGTGTAAGGACGAAGATCCTAACATGTCAAGTATTGAGAATGTCGCAACTGGAGACAACGTAAGAAGGCCGCGACATTTGATGAAGGCCTCAGCTTATTAAAGTTAGGTCGTAACACTTGATTTAGCATCTTTTAAGAAACTATAAACTTTAAATTATAAAGATGTATATATATATATATTAATAAAGCAAACGAAAGAGTATCACCGACTACACCCATATAGCGGAAATTCAACATTTGCAAAGAATAGAGAACACCAAGTTGACGAGTTTATAATTATCACCCAGAAAGAAGTATCAAATTAGTATAGTTTTTTCAGTTCTGTTGTCGGCAGTATTTGCCGCTGATGATGTTGTGGTTTTGACAGATGCTAATTTTGCCTCCGAAATTGCAAAGTATGACGTGGTATTAGTGAAATTCTATGCACCCTGGTGTGGTAATTGCAAACGTTTGGCTCCGGAATATGAAAAAGCAGCCACTATTCTTAAAAAATCAGATCCACCAGTCACCCTTGTCAAGGTTGATTGTACCGTAGAGACAAGTGTTTGTTCTAAATATGGTGTTATTGGTTATCCAACACTAAAGATCTGCAAAGGAGGAGAGGTATCTAAAGATTATGAGGGACCTAGGGAATCTGATGGTATTGTGAAAACAATGAACAGAGAGGCTGGACCTGTTTCCAAAAAGTTAGAGACTGTTGAAGAGGCTCGAAACTTCCTAGACAAGGACTCAGTTGGTGTAATTGGTTTCTTTGATGCAGAAGATAGTAATGATGCCAAGACTTTCTTAAAGGTTGCAGATCAACTACCAGACATTAGATTTGCACACACTGTTAGTAATAAAGTCAAAGAAGAGTTAAAACAATCAAACGGAGTTGTGTTATTTAGACCTAAGGTTCTTCAAAGCCGATTTGAGGATGCAGAGGTCCGATTTACTGAGTCTGGCACAGTTAAATTAAAGGCTTTCTTACAGTCGGAAGACTTTGGACTCTGTGCTGAGCGTACCATGAGTAAAGCTGCAAATTTTGGAAAGCCATTGTTTGTAGCTTACTTCAACGTAGACTATACTAAAAATCCAACGGGAACTAACTATTGGAGAAACAGGATTATGAAAGTTGGAAAGCAGCTACGGGAAGAAGGAAAGACTTTATACTTTGCCATAAGCAATGTGGATGAAATGAACAGAGAACTTGAGGAATGTGGCATTACTGAAAAGGGTGGAGATAAACCCGTTGTTTGTGCATGGGATAGCCAAAACAAGAAATATAAGCTGACTGAAACCTTCAGTGTTGAGTCTTTTGAACAGTTTATCAGTGACTTTTTGGCAGGCAAAATAGAACCCTTCATTAAATCGGAACCACTGCCAGAGTCTAATGATGAACCAGTAAAGGTGGTTGTAGGTAAAAACTTTGATGAGATAGTGAATAATCCAGATAAGGATGTTTTGATTGAATTCTATGCCCCATGGTGTGGACACTGCAAGAGTTTAGCACCCAAATATGATGAACTAGCTGAAAAGCTGAAAGATGAAAATGATATCGTTATTGCCAAGATGGACGCAACAGCAAATGATGTTCCAAATCCATATGATGTTAAAGGATTCCCAACCCTTTACTTTGCACCCAAAGGCAGCAATAATTCCCCAAAGAAACATGAGGGTGGTAGAGAAGTTGATGAATTCATCAAGTATTTAGCTAAAGAATCCACTGATGGCCTTCAGGGTTATTGCAGACATGGCAAAAAGAAGAAGAGCAAGAAGGCAGACCAAACCGATTTGTAATGTGTTGATTTAAAGTTGATCTATCATCTGTCATATTCCACATGTATGTGTATGCAAGTAGTTTGTTAAATGCAAGATACAGATAAGAGTGGTTTATTTTTGTTAAGCTTGGTTACATGTCGGTGAGCGAATGTACAAATAATTCCACCATTATGTTTTTTAGGAACATTGTCATGAGGTTCTTTGTAATGGCGATATTTTCTTCCATGTTGTTACATAACAGGAGTACTAAAATTGATCCGATCAGACTGTTAAATGTCTGGCTACGTGACTACTAAAGTGATCTTCCAGCAACAGATTAATCTTAATGTCTTCTGTGAGAGATACTGTTCTGTTGCTAAACGTTTTTTAAAGTCTTTTTTCTTTTAAATGTTTCATACCTTAAATTTTGTTTTGATTTAAGATAACTTTGTTTGTTGCCATCCCAAATGGGTCAGTTAATATACAAAGGTGTTATATGTGGTGGACATGGGGATGTTTGCACAAGAGCAGTTAAAGAATGATTAAAAGTTTTTATAAAAAAAGAAAAAAAAAAAAAAAAAAATCCAAGACAGCATATTCTCGTACGCTCGAATTCGATCCTTACATGTAAGGATACAACTCCAAAATACTCTCTCTCTCTTCCACACACACCAACTTCGCAACACCTCACCCAAATCCTGGGACGTCCAATCTCCCTGTACACATATATTATTAGATGATCCCCGTCATTTAAAACGTATCTATCTTTCAATTAGAATGATTTTAACTAGTATAATTTGTCCCGCTTTAGTAGTAATAAACAATTTAAATTCCATCATCGCTTCTAATTTTTGACTTAATCAATACAGTACAGCTCTGTTATGTCCACGGCAACGGGGTTAGCAAAAAAGCGTCCAGATGATCGATGAGCATGATAAATGAAAACCAATATGGCGGCAATGTATAAAAGCATGTGCTAGACATTTCTTTATTGACATGATTTGCCTTGTTAAATGCTGGTACTTCAGTAAAAACACATTTTTAAAATATATAGCTATAAAATTCCGTGTATTCTCCTATAACCTTTAAATGATTGCATACAACTTGTTTTGCGTTGTTGGGATCTCGCCCAAAAAGATTTCTGTATTATCACAACCATTTTAAAATAGTTCATTTTGCGCAAGAGGCCCTAAATTCGTTTTTTTTTTCTTGGATGAGTTATATAAATTTAGTTTCAAAAGAGAAAATGCATGGGTGTATATAATTTTAATCAAATAAAAGACATTAACTTTTCTGTGTGACATAATAATTAGGTTTCTGCAGTAATACAATAATTCTACAACATTCCGTTATGTGGCCGTTGGCGTCAAACTCGTTTTGTCCTTTTTATTAGCAATATAAATATATCTTCCGGGTGTGTTTCTATACCATTTATCAGATTTCGATAAAACTTCGGGGAATTGATATGTGCTTGCCCTTTAAAGGTTTCTAAACTAAAACAAACATTTTAACTTTTTATTTCTAATACTAGCTTTACAAATATAATTTCAAAAAGAATTAATACATTGGTGGACGTAATTTTAATGAAATACAAATAGTGACATTTAACTTTGTGTGTTACATAATAAGTAGGGTTCTCAAAAATATATGCGTACAGGGAGATTGGACGTCCCAGGATTTCGGTGAGGTGTTGCGAAGTTGGTGTGTGTGGAAAAGAGAAAGAGTATTTTGGAGTTGCATCCTTACATGTAAGGATCGAATTCGAGCGTACGAGAATATGCACTCTTGATATGAGAGGATTAATGAATGTCCGTTTGGTTAAGCTTTATTACTTAATATATATAAATCTTTTATAATTTAAAATTTAACGTTTTTTTGAAAGATACTAAATCAAGTTAGAAAAGTTGAAAAATGCAAAAAAATTCCAAAATGGTGTTATTTTCTCAGCAATCTAGTTGTAAAAACAAAGCCATAAAACAATTCTTTAAAATTTTTCATGTGACATAAAATCCTTAAATATGTCTTTATTAAAGATGAAATGTGTCACATTTATTTCCCATGAAAACGTATTTATGACTGAAATTTTCATTCCCATTATTAAACATTTTATTTAAAGAACATAATTTTTTTTTTACAAATATGTATTTCTATATTATGAAAACTAAACAAATATGAATGGCTTTTTTTATTCATATGACTGTAACAGCTCAGAAGATTGGAGGATAATAATTATTTTAATTTAAGTACAATTTTAAAAAAAGTTTGTTTGAAAAAGAGTTGATAATGTTTTATTAAAATTTCAATGATCAAGTTAAAGATCGTTTGTGTCATGAGTCATCCATGAAATTTATTTGATATTAGAAATTATTATACAAACTATATGTTAGTTAGATAATAAATGAAGTAAAAGTGTAATAAGTGTGCATTTTATATATGAAAAATAACTATATATATATATATATATATATATATTTATATACACATCACAACAAGAACAAGAACAGTAAGACAATAACTTTTCGGCCAAGAGACTTCCCCAACAGATGGGACAGATGAAAATAGGACAAGAAATAGAGACAAGTTAATAACTTAAATGATATTAGCGGAAGTTAGATTTAAAAAAAACAGGTTTACAGAAAGTGAACAAATTCATGAAATGTTAGTCTTAAAATAAAATCATTTATAAGATCATGTTATTTTTGCTACTCTCTGCCAGTGTTTCTTTTAGGGATCTCTTCAAGAAGGGGGTGACTGTCCCACAAAACAAGTCACATTCCCTACAGGAAAATGAGTGCAATGAAACGAAAATATATTGGATTTGAATAAAACTATGAGATTTTTATAAAATAAACAAGTAAATTGTTCATTGAGCTATATTAGTTTTGTGCATATATTTAAACCTAATCTTGTTAGAGGTAGAGACCATTCAAAAATGATTTTCTCAATTTGACCGAAACCGAAAGTAGGCCGAAAGTTAAAAATGACTTTCGTCCGAAACTGTAGCCGTATCCAAAAGCTGACAGAGACTTTCAAACGAAATCGAAGCTGAAACCATAAGATATCACCACAATATTATCGTTATACTAATGCTTTTTACTTTCAAAAACTGCTGGCAAGATATCGCTGTATCCCTAGTACCAACACATTAGTCTTTCAGTGATGGTGAAGTAATTATTTCGTTCAGGAACCTACCTCCTTCATCCCTATTGGTTAGGTATTATTTTTTTTTGGACCGGGTCTATTAAATGTGTCTAAAAAATGAAACAGAAATAATAATGGACATATTTCTATTCCCAAGGATTATTCAATATTATTCACCTTTGCCTATGACACCAAGGATGAGCATCATTATGATATATCAAAATAAATATCACAAATGAAGGAATTTAATTATTCTAAGACTCAGAATTTTATTTTTGAAACATTTAAAACACAAATTGATATAAATATTACCATTCCATTCGTTTTTGTTCCTCCTGTAAAACTGTTAAAATTTGCCTAGGCTTAGTTGAAATTTAATATTTTGGAAATCTTGGACAAGTAAGTGAACCCTTTTCGCAGAGTATTAATCATTTAACATTTGATGACAGCAAGACGTCCAGCAAAAATGAAGATCGGGTTTCCGGCCTAGAGACAGACAGTCCGACTTCTGGTAGATGACCGAAAACATCAGTCGCTTTAAATGGCCGAAAGTCTCACTTTTGTATGAACCCGAAATTAACCAAAAGTTAACTTTTCTGTTTTAGCCGAAAGTGATCAATGGCCAATTTCGACGCCAATACCGAAGATTCTAATTAGAGGCTTACATAATTTGAGTATAAATATCGTGCTGTGCCGAAAATTTTAACGGTATTTGTATTTATTTCATATTCTTACAACTATACAAGTTTGAAAACTTTACTAACACCGTATAAAACGACGAAGCATCCAAAATGTGCAATTTGTGTTCAAATTCTATTTCACAATAAAAGCATGAGGATATTAAGACATGATATAGTCGTTCTGGGGCGTTGCTGGTCATATTGGGACGCGTCGTAACGGACATTTGTTCACTCGCTTTGTTTCCGAAATTTCTATTTTTCCTATAACAGGTATTTCCCGTGGCCCAAATTTCTCTTCGCGGCTCCATTAAAACCAATATCAAGGTTTTTTAAAACAAAAAACGGAAACACAAATCCGAATGAGCCATTGTAATCTGGACACAAATAAAACACAAGCACCAAAATAAGGCAAACAAAATATTCTACTGAAACGCGTAGGGCCTTGTTCGGTCACCCAGCTTTGCCATCCCCTAGAGCCGGATCCCCATGACCAATCGTCTGTGCAAGAAGAAATAGCAAACAATAACCAAACAAGTTTAGTAAAATTAAAAACTCTTATTTTGATCTCAAATACAAGACTTGTGTTTTAGTATGAACCTTTAAGCATTTTAAATAAATATGTTTTATTTAGAGGTTTATTAACCCGGTAGAATCCATATCATAAATGATCATAATTTGAAGTGTGTAGAAATTTGTAATGGGCAGCCATTCACGGTGTTTCCATTATGGGTATGCAGTGAACTACCTGGGACTTTCATTCGTAAGAATTTGCCTTATGCAGAAATGATTCAACCACTGGTCAGGGAAAGCTTTACTTAAAAAGTCATGTGCCAAAGATTGAGGTCAGAAAATGTGGAGGCTTCGTCCAAAGTAGAAAATTCCAAACCATCTCGCACGTTAAAAAAGTCGTATTCAAAATGAACTAAAGCTAAAGAATGTGATTCTGATTTTATTTTTATTTTAAATTTGAATTTTGCTCTTAATATCTGTATTACTATTATTTATTTCTTTTACTGAATTACCTACATTTATTTAGGCATTAAATATACATAAAACATGTCTAGATCATGTTAATAGTATGTTGCTCAATAAATGTTTTCGTTTATCTCGATACTCGGTTATTTCGACACTCTTTAGCTAACATCCGATGCTGTCGACATACTCGGGTGATACTGAACTACATTGCTGGGGTCATGTCGACATACTCAAGTGATACTG